TAGCATTTTTACCAGTCGGGAGTGTCTATGCTGGGACGATACGGTGGCGACTTATCAACCGATGCGTACCGTCAAAATGTGTGGGCACCCACTGGACTTACCTCTTCTGTGATGTAGTCATTAGGGGAGTATCCACATCTGAAGTAGACCACAGCCACTTCATGACCTTCACTGAAATACAGGACACGCACTGACCAAGCTCATGTAGAATATTTCAGTCCGACTTCGGTTTACAAATTTATTTTCAGCACTGAGGTTAATAATGGATTATATTTCTAGGGAGTACACAGTGCAGAAAAGGGTGCTTCTAAAAGTCCCAAATCATTGAGTTTCCTGTTCTCTTTATGGCTATCTAAACAGTGTCTGACATGGATGCCAATGACGAACCTAAGGCAAACAAACGGACTTTGAATGTTGCTCTTGTGAGTGAAACCTCACCTAACCAAAAGATTTCGAAAATAAGAAGGCAGAAATGTGCAATACCAAGTCATGTCATTGTCACCAATCGATCAATACATGTACAAATATACTGTTCATCAAATATCACTAGTAACTACTCATATACTTAACTTGATTACTTACAGGATTAACTTGTTATCCTCAGTGAGCTGCGACTTTCTGTAAACTTGATCAAAACTCCTCCTGAGGACCTTCACCTTGCTGTTGATTTCATATATCCCCCACTCCAGCCAGCGCTGGTCAAATATGTTTCTCGATACTGTCTCCGTCAAAAACAATATCACCGCTCTGCAATCAAGTAAAAGTGGGCAAATTTTACTTGATCAATTATTTCAGTAAAGCGACTCTCGTCTTTAACACAGTTTTAACTTATAAGAGATTTGATTTATAAGAGGATATATAAAATGATTAAGCTATTTCTGTGCCTTTTGTGCAACAAAATCACTGGCATCGGTATTTAAGTAGGTTTTTGTTGTTACACTGGTCCAATTTTCCGTCCTTGAACGAGCAGTTACATATATAACACTGCATTTATAGCATCTCAACATCAAAATTAAAATTTGCATAAATGTGTAACTATGGTGAGTATATACGTAGGAAGGCTAACTCGCCAGTTGCAGTCGTTCAAATAAACTTTCATAAGGTTTCATATAAAAAAAGACAGTTTACACCAAGTTGCCTCGTCAAATAATCCAATAAGAGAGAGAAAAAAGTGAACACTGAATGACTTACTCTGTGTTGCCGTACAGTTCCCAAGCCTGAACCATACCGCCGGCTATGTCTGAGACACCTGTATTGGCAGGTAGCTGAAAGAAGAGTGAATTAAAATTACATTGCCACAATATTTAATCCAATTAGAACAATGGTTGTCACTAGTAAAGAACAATGCAGGTCGCTTAATTAATTAATTCTATGACAGTACATTTTAGGTACTGTAGAACGTGTGACATCTCACACATACCTTGTTAATCTTATCTGTCAGACCACATCTTTCAAATATAAACCTGAAAAATACAGCAACATTTCATCATGTATGTACTTGTATGATATATTTGTTTGTCACAAATGGTTTGCATTTTGCATTGTTGAAAAATTGATGAAGGTGTGGTATCTCCATACGGAGCTGGCTAACACTTCAAACACCATTAAACTTTCCAATTTAATACATGAAGCATCTAAACGCCCCCAAACGTATCACTTCTACCTGTGGAAAATCCCAACTTGAGCCGATAAAGCAGCACAACCAGAAGCTATAGTGTTAAACTCAACCTCTTTGATCCCCAGGGTGTTCACATCTTCTGGGGTGGAGAGGGTGCGGCCCTGAGAGTCAGTCATAAAATCATTTCTGTTGATAGCAAGACTCACAGGCTGAAATATACACGGTTAGTGAACAAAAGGGCAATTTTCACAATTTTAATGCGGTTTTTCAAGAATCATACTTATCATACTTATCATGTATCATATATTCATGTGATGATTTTATAAAGAAAATTGTAATAATTATATATCAAGGCATATCTCAAAATCGTTCGATGTAAAAATGAGGAATCAATTGCAAAAGACCAGTTTTTCAAATTTGTACCAAGTTTCCCGCTTTTACGCCACTTAAAGTACACGTGTACATGCTTTTTTTCTTTTTAACCTTACTTTGTCACATATTGAAAGGCTTCAGTTATAGAAATTTCAGTATTCCGTATAAAAATACTGTCTAGAGACATGTATATATTCTTTTGACTTTTCCAGGTGAATTGTCACCTGTTCAATTCCCTCCTTTCTCACTGTCTCATAAATTTCCCACAATCTCTTGGTGTAGTCGTCCACTTTTATAACACTGAAAAAAAAAACTCAATATATACTGAATATATGATATGTCTTCGTCAATTTACATCAAAATAATAAAAACAATCAACCACTTAAAACGGCTTACTTATCCAACATCAAACACAAAACTATAAAGGATCATTAATAAAAGATTCACCATGACTAAAAAAGATTTAAAAACATTCTTATTTGCACAGTATTTTAATTAATATCTTCTCATTTTATCAGAAAAAAAGTTTTATTGTTCAGACCATTACTATTTTAACCAGTTTTAATTATTTCAATTTTTTTTTACCTTAGCCTTTATTATATATATAATAAGTTGTAATCCTAATAATTTTACCTGTAAACAGCACTGAGACGCTAGTGTAGTGCGGTTTTAAGAAATAAATATTATTATTATTATTATGACTTTTCAGTAAGGAACGGTCTGCTGGGGAAAAAAGACCAGTTTATGCTCTCAGTAATTTTTTTACGAAGCTGAAGTTATATTTTGACTATCTGTTTTATCATGAGTCTTCGGGATCGAACCTTCCAGTGAAACTGAACCCATCTTGTTTTACCTCTGGAGAGTTGACTGCAGAAAGTCATGGTCGTGTGCTACTCGGTGATAGAGAAGATTAAAGTCTTGCTGCACTGCGCATGCTTGGTGAAAAAGCCGCTCTGGGAATGGTGAAGGCAGAAGCAGAAAAGGGGCATAATTTGTTACTTCTGATGATGTTGGTCTGTCTGAAGTGCGCATAGTGATTCCTAAAAATAATACAAATTGAACGATATCACACTGCCACTGAGCTCGCCAATAACAGCAATAGATCAAACATCTGCCAACTACCCAAAAGCAGCGCATTTAAGACTGGGTTCCCATGCCTAGATCGATCCATCTGGATCGGTCTAACTCCCCGGGAAGTCTCACTAAATTGCTATCAACTAACCGGCTTAAATGTCTGTCACGTCTACCAAATCAGCCAGGGGGTAAAGATTACCCCCTGGCAGCTTTACTAAGCGTGACAGACATTTAAGCTGATAGCAATTGAGTGAGACTTCTCAGGGAGATAGATCGATCCAAATATCTGTAGGAATGGTCCCTAAGCTTTGGTGAGTATTTTGCGTGTCCTATGTACTTCCCCACACCGTTGTAGGCCTATTGCTCCCCCTACCAAAAATCATCGATACAACCCAGAACCCTTACTTCTCCTTGACGCTTTTTGAATGATGATACACAAGATTTTTCACTTTGTTTCGAGTCTGGGGGAGGTACACTTTAAAAAAATTCAGTTATTGTTATATATCTTAAAATTAAGGGTCATAGAATTTTATCAGGTGGTTAGCTATTCTGTCAGATAATAGCTATGTTTGAAATTGTAACGATGCGGGAGAGTTATGGTACTGGAACCAGGATTTAAACTGATCAACTTTCCTATATGTGCTGTCAAACCTTCCTGTTCTTTTAAATTAAATACCAATTTTGTGTATACACAAGGCATTTACAAACCCAACTTAGTATCTATGGAGTTAAGTTCTGTACGACTCTGTGTGAAGAGAGCATAAGACAATCCCTACCCCCCAACCCCCCCCCCCCCCACCCACCCAACGTGGGATACTCCAGTGGGCAATCTCATATGCCCAAAAACCTAATCAGTGGATGTCTCGATAAAGACGAGGTCAGTCGAAATTTTGACCAAGAAACAATGGAAGTTACTGTCTGTGATATGATATAATAACAAAATGCAACCCCTCTCTCCTTCCTCCCTTCCTTCCTTCCTTCTTTGACAAAACAACTCACCGTGAGTGAGGGCCCAGTCTTTTGCCATGGAAACCAGTCCCTGCAACTCGTCCTCTTTCAGGGGCAGTGGCATACATGGCTCCTTCCTGAAATTACGAAAAAATCTGCGTTGACCATAAAATTGTAAACTGGGTCGTTTTTGACACGAACCCAACGTTGCAGTTTGCCAACAGCATATTTGTACTACTCTGACTGCAGTACCCCTGGTATTCCGCATGTTTATATGCCCAAATGTACACCGTCTGAAACACAGAATAATTTATCCTATAATATATTGTGCGATTTAGGGGAAAAACTTTGAAAACTGTTAGCTGCGTCATCTTGCTCCTGCGGGCATATACACATCAATACAAAAGATGACATTCAATGTTACAATGTTTCTGTGGATTCGGAACCAGCATACTGGGAAACCTTGGCATAAATGCGGCGTGAAGATACGAATAAGGCGGTATAGAGCACCCCCCCCCCTTTCACCCACATGGAAAAGCCTAACACAGCTATTTCCTCCGCTCTTGACGTATGGGGAGTTTAAGTCGCAAAACATTCTAGTCACACACCCAGGGTCGCAGGATTTGAAATCTTGAGTAATAAATCTGGCGGCTTTCTGTTAGATCTTGAGTAATAAATCTGGCGGCTTTTGCTGTAATTTGTTTAAATAAATACTAAAACAACTGATACACTGTAAGAACGGATCCAACATGATGGACTCTACCGAGTATAATAGAACAAAGCAACCCATTCAAAATGTCACAATGACAAAATGAACTGTTCACAGCAAACATCAATGATATGAACTTAGTAAGATCGTTCGAAATAATGAAAAATAAAAAAAAATGCTACCTTCTTCAAAATGGTAATCCTGGCGCGTATTTCCACTGGCTGAGTTCTGCCGGTGTCGGTTAATTAAATAACAAACGCAACTCTGCGTAATCTTGCACATTTTCCCTTTTATTAAAGCTTTACATTTTGAACCAACCGGTTCTTTTACACCAGCACCTCACTCGGGGTGAAGCACCTCCAGCAAGGAACAATATTACAATAGACATGTTAACTTGATTTTTGAAATATGGCAGTGATGCTCATCCAGAACTCGTCTTGCATTTCTGGCTGATTAAATGCATTTTTTTCTTGCTTTTTACTTCTATTGGCAATGCTACATATTTATGTTTGTCTTACTGAGTTAGTGTGTTATGTTCCCTTTATAAATAGGAATGTTTTTAGCATTGTTCACTACAGTGATATTTTCAGATCAGTAAATGGTCCAAAGTAACATCAGAAACCCTGAGAAAAAAACAATTGTTTGACTTTAAATCCGCATCAGTTTCCCCATTCAGCACCAGTAAGTACTAAATAAACCATGATGATTTCGATCAATTTCTTAAAAATAAGTACTGTTTATAGTAGTGTGTATTCTATCCCGTTTTTATACTAAAATTAACAGTAGTTAACAACATTATCTGATCTCTCCTGCTATACAAGATAATGACAGTATACAGAAAGTTCTGTTGCATCATACTAAATACGGGCTGTCTATAGCAGAGTAGCCTGTTGCCACGCCCCCTTCATTGGTGTCCGAGGTTTTGGTTCTCAGTAAATGCCCGCACTGTTTGTTAGTGATGATACGGTCAGAGGTCCTGTAAAAGAAACAAAGAAAATAGGTGTGATCATTTTCATTTTCCTTTGTGTAGTCAAAGAACCAAATACATTAATTCAAACACTTGCAAAGCCAGAAAAACAAAATGACTGATAAAGAAGCCTGAAACGTGTAGGCTAATATCAGTAAAGAATAGAGAAAAAGTGACTGACACATTTCATTCTTAAGCCCTTGGTATAAAAAGGGTAAAATTCTAAATATTAACCTCCCCATAAGTGAACACTGTATTCTCCCAGTTTTATCCTATAAGCACCCTGTATATCACAATTCTGTTGTATATGCACCACGTATATTCCCAATTCACTCACCCAATAAGCACCCCATATACACCCAATTCACTGAGCATGGTATTGGGTTGTACAGGAGATTCAGCACGCAGTACGTAGTTCTGGAAAGGCACAGGATGGATCCTCTCCATCAGAATGTATGCCATTCTTTCATCACTGTCTAGCACACGCTCCAACACCTTTCTGACATCTTCTCCGAAGTAGTTATTTCCTGAATTGATATAAAATCATATTTTAATAATTTTTCTGTCAATTTATAAATACCTCAACAATCATCGTCATCATCACAAGAATAAGTTTGTATTTTTAACATCTGTTCATATATATATATATATATATATACATATTTTTAACCTGTGTGATGTGTATGTTACAAGACATGTTTTTTTTCTTCAGTAATAAAAAACAATGGGGAAATTTTTTTCACAGAACTTCATACTCAGTGTCCTAAGTTGGGTAAAAAATTTGTCATGGCCCAAAATACAAGTGTGTTACTCCAAAGCACTTATTCAAGATTTAAACCACTTTTGCAAATGAGTCTTGTGATTTCAAAGATAACCAACAATCACATCCTAATGCTTGAAACAGTTCTTTGTTTAAAATTTTTGCAAGTCTGATATGTCTTTTGTCACATGAAGATCACAGAAAAGTTTTTACATACCTCCACCTTCCCTTTGAGGTTTGAGAACATATTTGAATGGATTCTCCATTGCCATGGCAACAGCGGCATCACCCTCAGCATCCTGGAGATTACAAGGGTGTCAGTAATCTATGACGTTTTTTTTTCAGTCAACTACCTTCAAAATTATCATCATGATAGTAATCTTTTAATTGAATGTGTAAATACAGTAATGACCCAATCTTCTCCATGGGGAAAATTGTGAATTTTACAAATACTCTCTCTCTCTCTCTTACCCTTTCCAGGGAGTACATGCCAGCAAAAGTTGCTCTAATTCTCTTCACAGCCTCAGAGTCCTGTATAAACCGTTCCACCACTCCCGGCCTGCCAAGCTCTTGTTGTACCTTTTTAGCACCTGCCAGATGATAGTAGATGTTGGGACACTTGATGGCAGTGGACCTTTCTATCCTTAGCCTGGTTGTCCAGTCCTAGAATGGAGTTTGGTAATTATCATTGGCTGTAAGTATTATCATACAAAGGGACATAAAAATTGTGGTATCTGTGAAGGACTGGGAATAAGCATAAGTTTACTCTGCATATTTTGGTAGTCTACAATGAGAGTCATACATTTTCAATTAGACTTATGCTCTAAAAACAAATAAGATTGATAACTTCATAATATACTACATTTCCCAAGATTACAACCCCCAAGACTGCAGACTTGACTTTTTTAAGTGAACATGTACCAGTAATACACTAAAATTCTAGCATTTGCACTGAACTCTTGAAAGATAAATTCTTAATGGACTTTTACCGTATTAAATAACACCGGTCTTATCAAAACCCTTTATAAATGAATTACAAGCACCCATCACCTGCTTCGTCTACCTACCTCCTCTGTGATGTAGTCATTCGGGGAGTATCCACATCTGAAGTAGACTACAGCAACTTCATGACCTTCACTGAAATACAGGACACGAGCTGATGAAGTCTGCATGTTTTTAATTCATTCTTTTCAGGTATGTAACTTTTCAGTCCAAATTCTGAATAAAAATACATTTTCAGCTCCGAGGTAAAAAGGTGCTTGGTTTCTTGTGCAGTAATGGGGCTTTTCAAAAGTGAAAACCAAATGTTTTTCTTTG